ACTTTATCCCAATTGTTCTTAACTCAAAAGAAAAAACACAAAAATGGAGGGTGATATGGTGTGCTATTGCTTGAAATATTTGGAATCAAAGAAATGCATGTGTATTCAGGCTTTTTTTTTGTAACAGCCAAAAATATATTGAATATGTTGCACTAGGGGTGCCACAAACCCAAAATTACAAAGTAAGAAAAAAATGTATGGGCGAGGCTGGACAGCAATCAAAGGGTTTACAAATTTAATAAGCTCCAGACAATAAAAATTGTGGTTGTAGTTAAGCCCAATAGAGAACACGTGTAGCCTAGTAGATTCGCCCAACCACCTCAATTAATCACACACTGGGCTTCTTCAACCATTTTGCAAGCATTGAGATGGACATGCTATCCATTGACAAAGGTAAAGTCCATGAGGTCATTAAGCTTCAGCCACAACCACAGAGTAAGGTGTAAGTTGGCTTTCAATTCTTCCAGTTCAGTCGCTCTTCTTCTAAAAATCTTGTTATTTCTCCCATTCCAAATACACCATACAAAGGCACTCCTAACAATGTCTCATCCCTTCATTTCGTGACGACCAGAGCATAACTAGGGGTACTAACAATAGTGTTGCCTCACTGTTTGAGGTAGAACTGTGCTGATAAAGGTTCAAGAGAGACAATACTTTCACACGTAGTCAGCAATTGGGCAGTTGAAGAAGAGATGCAATAATGTCTCAGGCTGCTCACTGCACATCACACACGTTGAGTCTGAAGGAATGCCTCTCCTCAGAAGGTTGTCAACTGAAGGAAGAGCATTATGCAGCAATCGCCATTGCAAGAGCCCAGCTTTAGGTGGGATTTTCAAATGCCATATGTGAGCCAATAAGTCATCCACCTAACCATTGTACTTGAGATCATGTAACGCCTTATAGGTAGAGCTGACCGAGAAGCATCCTGACTTATCAATAGGCCACACCCAACTGTCCTTGGCATGTTTTTGGAAGGCCACTGTGGAGATTGCATGTTGAAAGTATGTCCATTGCTCTTGATCTCTCTCTAGCCAGTTCCTTCTCCATTGAAAGTATGTCCATTGCTCAGGCATAATCAGTTTGTTCAGCAAAAATTAATGAAGGAAATCATCCTCACAACTTGGAAGTGGCTGAGTGTAAAACAGAATAATTTTCATATTCCTTTCTACTTATGGTCAATTAGTCCTGGCCTGTGCATTTAAAAAAAGTATTTGACTGGAGTTGATGGGTCATCCTCAGAAGGATTATGTACTCCATGGTGCTGGGTTGTTTTATGTAACCTAAACTGTTATTAATTTGTTTTTTGGAGCCCCAGGTTAAAATATAATTTGATATCATAAACTCAAATTAGTTTTAACTAATGATATTATAACCTTCTATTTATCTTATGTATATATATAAGTTTTGGCTAGGGATGGCAACGGGGCGGGGCGGGTACGGGTTTCATGATACCTGTCCCCGTCCCCGCAAGTTAAACTCATCCCCATCCCCGTCCCCATCCCCGTCGGGTATAGATTTTCATCCTCATCCCCGTCCCCGTCGGGTAA